TGGACTGGGCAGGGAAGGGGTGGGCAGCACAGGTGCGGAGCTGTCTGCCTGGCTGCTGGGCAGGCACCTGCATGGCTAGGCAGTCTGGGACACTGTGGGGCTGTGAGGGGACAGTGGGGCTGGGATGGCAGCAGCAGTAGTGGCAGCAGCCCACTGGGGTCATGGGAGGGAGGGGGCACCACGCAGAGCGCCTGGCCCTGCAGCAGGTGCACAGGTGCTGCTCCTCTGCAGATTGTTGCAGAATGAAAGTGTCAGGGAACTGTTAGAATCCCTCAAGGCATTTCGCCTTTCTGGTTTTGAAAGGACTGTAACCAGAAAAGCAAATATATGCAGGCTTAGGCAGGAATTAAATGGAAAGAGTATTGCATTCTATGGAAATTAATTGCACGTTCGCGGGAAGCTTCAGGAAGCTTCATCGTTGATGAGGAAGGCAATCGGGAGATGAAGTTTTCTCTGCAATCGATGATACACTCAGATCACATAAACATGGTATTCAAATTATACGCAAATCATGAGAACATATTCAGTTCCTTGTACAGCCTGCAAAAGTTGCAGAAAATGTCAGAAAAGTATTGAACATCATCATACAAATTTATTGAATTCAGACTTTGATGAAACTGACTGGTATGTGCAATCAAACCCTTTTGGAAAAACTGCCTCATAAGAATCAGCGGTGTTTTTTTTTTTAATATTTATTTATTTTTTTATTTATTACATTTATTTATTGTGTGTGTGTGGCCAGCTCAGCCCACCAGGGGGCGGGCTGGCTGGCATGTGGTGCTGGAGGATTGAACCGTGGTCCCTGTGCTTTGCCAAGCTTGTTTCAAGTAGGTGCTTTAGACCACTGAGCCATCTCTCCAGCCCATCAGCGGTGTTTGTGGTACTAAAATTTATATTTGAAATAATTTGTTAGACAGTTCACCAGATGTGTCAGCCTATAAGGCATTCTTATTATTTGTTTCAAACAGGGTCTTGCTGGATAGTCCAGGCTGGCCTAGAACTCCTGGTGATCCTCCTGCCTCAGCCTCCTGAGCGCTGGGACTATGGGTGTTCACCACATCTGGCTTCTGTGATATATGGTTGGTGGCTACAGTCACAGTGGCATTGCCAGAAGGTCTTTCTTATTATTTACAATTATTTTTAAAAGTTCTAGGGCTGGCCTGATAGCTCAACGGACTGCTTATCCCCAGTGTACCAGGCAGAGCTGATGCCTGCCCTGCCCTCAGGGTGTGCTGAGACAGCATTGAGACTGGGTGTGGTGGCACACACTTGTAATCCCAGTTCTTGGGAGGCTGAAAACAGGTCTCAATCACTGCCTTGGGGGCAGGGCCAGCACAGCAGGCCCAGGGATAGAACCCCTGGCCCCTGTGCCTGCTTGCAGGCACTTTAATCCATTGAGCTATTTGGCCGGCCCCACAATGTAACATTTCAAAAACTACATCATGCTGGGTATGGTGCCACATGCCTGCAATCTCAACTATTCAGGAGACTGAGGCAAAAGGATGGAAAGTTGGAGGCCAGTCGGGGGGGCTTAGCAAAATCCTCTTAAAATAAAAAATACAAAGAGCTAGTGAAGTAGCTCAGCAGTAGAGAGCACGCCTAGCACCCACCAAGACCCAGGTTTAACCAGTGTTTCAGAACAAAATAAACAACCCCACATCACAGTGCGGAGAGCTGGTCTCCTTAGTAGTGGCTCCAACTTCCCCAATTCATCCTATTACCCGCTTTGGAAGCATCTTCTTGACCCGAGTGCTGCTTCTGGATCATCGGGCAGGTAGCACGTCTGGGTGGGTGACCCAGCAGGTAAGCAGGTGACAGGCACTCTGGCGTTTGAAGAGTGCAGAGGGCGGGAGAGCACGCACTTCTGGGGTGCTGGGACGCTAAGCAATGACAGCACTCACTCTGCACACCTGCTGTCAGGGGCCAGGATTCCGCCTGGTCTTCGGGAGCCTTTGGGGAAAAGGGGCTGTCGGAGGAGGGCTGTCAACCCCAGGCCAGAGCAGGGTGGGTGGCTAAAACCACCGCCCCTAGTTGGAACACACTGCAAGTGTTTCCAATAGCTGTTTCCCCTCCTGGACTTGCTGAAGTCTCAGGGTCAGGCCTTCCAGAGGTGTTTGGGCTCTTGATTACAAGGAGCTGCAGTGGAAACTTCCTTAAAGAATGGGGGCGAGGTTAGGTGCGAATAAATGAGACTGGGACCCTGACCACTGCCCATCCAGCTCTCTCCACTGGCCATCGGGACTGACCACTCCCAATGCCCCACTGTGGAGTCAACCTGACTTATTCACCACTCTTGGGGTGCTTGGGGTGTGTGTGGGCGTGGCCAGCACTGTGACTGACAGCTGCACAGAAGACTCAGCTCAGATTTTTCCACCAGACCGGAGCTCCAGCGCTACCACTGGGCCAGAGGTGTCACATCTGACTGGCTTAGTCCATTATTTACTGACTGCTGCTTCTCCAAATCTATCTCTTTCTGCCACTACTTCCATGTGTAGTGAGCACTCTGCCTATACAGCGGGCCACAGCCTCTTGACTATATCCACCCCGCAACATCCCAGCTCGGCCACTTACCCTTCAACGTTGTCCTGGCACTAATGACCCAAGCCCTACGGAGGCCTGCGAGGGTCCTTCCAAATCCCCTGGCTTTACCCTCATCTTAGCCCTGTCCTTCCAGCCTCCAATTACCTGTCCCTTAACCAGTTCCTATCTCTAGAAGTCACCAGTTCACCCCATCACCCACCCATCTGCATCCCAGACAGCTAAGATTGTCACCTGCTAGAGGCTGTCTCAGCTCCTCCTGGTCTCAACTGCCCCTTCAGACCTTCTCACACCCTGCCTCCACTCACATTTGCTTGCATGTTGATCTAATTCCCCCAGCCTCAGTGGCTATGTCCGCCAAGCGCTGGGACCTTGCCTGGCTTCATGCTGAATTCTAGGGCTCAGCAGCACCTAAGACTTTCTAGGGTCACTGTCGAGAATGCGTCCTGCTGGCTGGGGAGATGGCTCAGTAGAATGAGCACTTGCTTGGCAAGCGTCTGAGTTCAATCCCAGGTTCCAACAAAAAAAAAAACAAAACAAACAAACAAACAAAAAAAAAAAACGAGTCCTGCGACCATGACATGCACACAGAAGAGTATGGAACAGCCTGGAAAGAAGGTAGGGAAGGAAGGAAGGAGGAAGAGAGGGAGGAAGGAAGGAAGGGACGGAGGGAGGGAGGGAGGAAGAAAGGCAGGCGGGGAGGGCAAACTCCTTGCCTTGGTTTTCTCTGGAGTTGGGGCAGGGACTAGGCCGAGGAGGATGGAGATAGAGGAGAAAGGGAGGGAGGGAGGGAGGGAGGGAGACTATGTGTGCACGTGCATGTGTACACACATCGGGGGAGATTCGGGTTACAACTGTGGTGAGCCTCCTTTTCAAAGGAGAAATAAGGCTGGGTGTGGTGGCACACACCTGTAATCCCAGCACTTGGGAGGCCCAGGCAGGAGGATTGCTGCAAGTTGGAGGCCAGCCTGGGCTACATGGTGAGTTCAAGGCCAGCCTGTCACATCAAGATCCACCTCCCAAAAAATGGAGGACATATATGTAACTTAATTGTATACATTTAAGAAGTAAACAATAATAACCCTGGCCCAGGTCAGGGGAGACGGGGTTGGGCTACCCAAGCCACACTTGAGAGAAAAGAAACACCAGGACACACCTGCCATGCGCTGGTGGGTTCTGAGTCTTCACTTTATTACTATGTCACCAGGAGTCACCACCTTCACTTGGTTCACCACAAATGGACAGATGTCATAAAGGAGGGGGCCACAGGGCCACTGGATTCACTCTTGAGAGACTTAACCAGGTGGTGGGGGTCGAGAGCCGGGGCCAGGGCAGGGCCTGCCCTTCACCGCACACAGATATATTTGTGGAGCCTTATATTATACATCTTATATATAGAAAATATATATATTTATACTATACACAGGCAGTAACGCTGCAAAGGGGCCAGGGCACCCAGACAAGGGCTATGGGCACCAGGGAAGGGGGCGCTGGGGCAGGGGCGGCGCTGGGAGATGGCTGGATCAAGCCATCCTCCATAAACTCTGGGGGGGTTCCCCCTTGCTCCTTAGAAAATCAAAAGGGCTTTGGGACAAGGTTAGGGTCCCTCAGGGTAACAATTAAGGGGTCTTAGTTACAGGGGAGAGGCCAGGGACCCCAAGTCTTTGAAGACCCAGAATCACCAGGGCAGGATGGAGTGGGGAACCCACGCTGGTTTCCTGGGAATCTGCCCAGAAGTATCACACTCCCAGGGCGTCAGGAGCCCTGGCCCACATCTAAGCAGAAGGCAGAGGCCTGGGCTCTGCACCTCACTCTGTGCTTTACCTAGGATGAGCCACTGTCTTCCTGTTCCGGCTCTAACCTTTCTAAGGGTTCTTGAAGCTCTAAACTTGTGTGGAACCCATGTCCTGGGTCCCCTCTTGTGCTTGCCTGGGAGAAGGGGCCCAAACTCCACAGGGTTTTCAGGGGGCCATTCCCCATGGACAGTGTGATTGAGGGCAAGCAGAGGGCAGCAGAGGGAGGGGTGCTAGGTGCTGCTGTCCTGTGGGCTGGGGGCCCCTTGGAGATCTCCCAGTAACAGAGTCAGCAGTTCATCCTCTCATCCTGGTCCTGCCCTGTGTGCCTCTCCCTCCATCACAGGGCCCTGCCAGGGTCCTGTCGAATGATGGCTCATGCTGGGAGCTGGTATGCGGGCTGTACCCCAGGTGCTGGGGTGTCCACTGAGATGACTCAGCACCCCCACTCCTGGCAGGGGCCCTGTAAACTCCCACAGCCTAGAGTAGCAGGGTCAGTCTGCAATACACACGCAGGATGAGGTGGAGGTTATAGGCACCCTGTTTCCCGCCTGGCACTGCCAGCAGCTGGTTGGCACCAGCGAGACCAATGGAATCTCCTGGGCCCAACAGGGGAGAGGTCCTGGCCTCCTATGGTGGGTACAGAATCTGCCATGCTGGAAACACTGCCCAGCCACCATGGCCCCACTGGTGATGCTCAGGACAGAGGTAACTGCCCCCCATGCTGTCCCCACTCTGGTCACCTTGGGGGACAGTCAATAAAGCCCCCTCCCCAGATGTGGAAAGCAGAGGACAGCAACACATCTCTCCATCATTGCTGCCCCTGGGAGAATGGACCAGATGAGCTCACAGCTTGTGTCACTGCTTACTGGTTTGTGCTCTTCTCCTAGGGAGGAGAGCAGCCCTACCTGTCTGCCCAGAAGCGACCCACCTCCCCACCCCTCCTGCCGCCCTGGGTCCTCCTCAGGAGCCTCAGGCCGCAGTGCATGTGAACTGTGAGTCCCACCAGCCAGACTCTGCACTTTGTTTAGTGCTTATCCTCCCCAACAGACCAGGCACCCTGGCGGGCAGGGGACACACCCCCTGGGGCTCCCACCCCAGATGCCAGAGAGGGCCAGTGAGTGACCTGACCAGTTGGATCCTGGGAGGCCTAGGATGATGGTGGAGGGGATCCTGTCTGTGTGGACCACCCACAGCTCCTCCGCTGTGCTCCCCTGTCCCGTGGTGGCTCGGGGTGCAGTGCTGCTACCTGCCCCTTGGCCCCTCTGCGCCATTAGTGCTGCCAGTTCCCCTCCCCCACTCTGCCCTGCTGCTCCCCCTGCACCACCTGGGGCAGCGCAGGGCCCTTGCACCCTCGGCCCTGTGACTCCACCTCCCTCCCACTGCTCCCAGAACTCTCTATGCCCACAGGGCTCCAACCCTGAATCCAGCCTGGCCCCTGACTATGTACTAGGTCGCTTCCATTTCCAGAAAGGCCACAGGAGCAGGGAATCTGTACCTGTTGTGTGACTGAGGCAAGAAACGGAGGCAGGAAGCCAGGGCTTCTACTCACTCAAAGAACCCAGGGTCTCCTTGTCCACCCAGCCCTGCGTAAGGACACAGGGACTCTTAGAGGCCAGGAGAGTGATCAGTCCCAAGAGGCCACAGAGAGGGCTGCTGAGCACGGGGACAGTGGAGTTCAGCTGACAGGGAAGCCAGCGGAGGGTGAGCTGCTGGGGCAGAGAGAGCCGACTTGCAGTAGAATCAAGGTGTCTCATGGGGCTGGGATCCCCAAGTGCCCCACAACAAGGGTAACACTGAGGAGTGGAGCCCCAGGCTCAGAGCTAGGGGTGGTGGGAGACAGGGAAGAGCAGGCAGGCTCCGGGGGGCCTGGGGGGGCCCAGGTGCAGCCTCCCCCTATGCCAGTTGCCTGACGGACCCTGGGTGAGTGACCTTGCCCTTCCCAGGCCTTGTTCTCCTCAACCATGCAGTGAGGACATCCCCGACAAGCCAACCAGGCCTGCTGCAGGGGGACCTAGGGGTGCCAGTCATGTGCTGAGACTAAGTCTCCATGTGGCCAGACCTCCAGGCACCATACCTATCTCCACCCCAGCATTCCTACCTTGGTACTGACAGGGCCACTCCACCTCTCAGCGTTCCCTTTCCAGGGACCAGCACTGCCTCTCACCCCCATACTGAGCATGGGCCTGGCACAGAGTAGCGCTCTGTGAATGACTGCGGACACAGAGAAGGAATGCACGGTCCCAGTCCCACCTTCCGGGCCCTGCTGGGCTTAGACACACTGGCACACACACAGATAGACACTCCCAACCTGATGCCCCATCCCTGCCCCATGCCACCCTGGCCTCCATGGAGTGGTCTGGAGGTGTGGAGGTGTACAGGGTCAGGGCAGGGCAAGGTGGGGCTGGGGCAGAGGGCAGGGGTGGGGCAGGTGGTCACTGAGGCTCAGTAGCCCTGGGACTGGTAGCCCTGTGACTCCGTGTCAAAGGCGGTAGCCGGCTGCTGGTAGGTGCCGCCCATGCTGGCGGGGTCCGGCCCTGTGCTGGGCTCCACGTAGGGGGCGTAAGGCATGCTGGAGTCCTGGCTGGGGTCCATGTAGTCCTGGGAGAAGAGGGCCGAGTCGGCGCCAATCTGGTACCGCTGGAAGGCCAGCACAGCTTGGCCCGCCTGGGGACGGGGCCAAGGGGGCAAGGGTGGGAGGGAGGGGCGGTTAGGGGAGAGACAGACAAGAGTGCTGGGTTAGTAGTCGTTAGTTGGTGGGACACAGTGTTAAAGATCCTCAAAGCACCAGACACAAAAGCAAGCTGTCCTAGGCCAGAACCACAACATCCAGTCAGAGAGGACCTCCCAAGTCACCTGCTCCCTGAGGCCCAGGCCACCAGAAATGTTTATCTGCACTGTGGAGGATTAAGGTGCCCTGAAGCCCCCAGCCTTCTCAAAATGTGTCTTCAGGGATATTATGCAGAATGGGGAAAAGATGTTTCTTAGTAGATGGAGGTCTCTCGGCATTTTCTTTTTTTTTTCTTTTCTTTTTTTTTTTTTTACATATTTTCTTTTCTTTTTAATTTTATTTATGTGTGTGTGTGTGTGTGTGTGTGTGGCCAGCTCAGCCCACCAGGGGGCAGGGCTGGCTGGCATGTGGTGCTGGGGGATTGAACC